AAAAGATGAATGGTCTTTGTGCTAGGCCCTAAATAATCAAATCAACAAAGAAAGAAAGAAAAATTATCAGTACACATGTTCTATAGATAACAGAGGCTTAAGCCGATTTGAAAATTTCTAGCTGAATAATTCGGGATTAATACACGAAAATGTTTTAGTTGGTTAAACACCGTTGCAATGTTGTCGAACATATGTATAATATTTAATAGTCATTAATAGCAGTTGAATGACTTTGTTGTTATTTTTATTGATTATGAATAACATGAGATGTCGGGTATTTGTTTGATATTTCAATGCTCTTTGATTAATTGATTAACTTTGTTTTAATAAATAGGCCGCCCTAGAGCAAACGGTTACAACACGACCAGTAAACAGACACTTTTTGAATTGATTTTATTTGAATTGATTGATTGTTGTTTACCACCACTTTCACCACGTGCACTATTGTGCTATTTCGTGGTTGAGGAAACTGGAGGGCCTGTAGAGAACCTTAAATCTTGGTCAGGAAAAATGACAATCCTTGTCAATTACGATTGGAGTCGGTCGCACCTGCCATGTACGGGAATTGAACTGACAACTAAAGTGTTGACAGGCTAGTGATACAGTGGTTGGACTACTGAGACCCTTTGGCCACCGCGGTCCCTCTTTTTTAATTGTTGTTAGTGTTTTAAATGATCAGAAGTCATTGAATAAACGTCTTGTAACTCTTTATTATCATTAATAAGGTCAAGTTAACAATCAGATAATGAACTTTCAACGGTACTTTTAAACGCCATATAAAAACAGATCAACACATAATATACATGATATAAGGTTGCATTTTAATTTTCTAAACGATGAATTAATTTTATAATCATTGAATGTGTTGCAATAAAAAAAAATGGCTAAAAAAAAATAAATAGTTACGTCACATAAATAAACTTGTTGTTCCTCCGACCTTTTCAATCCTGATATATTAAAACAAACAATTTATTTTACTTACTTGGTTTGCCGAGATGTATTTCTACTTACACATGATATTGAAGAGACCCATTTAAAATCTTTGTTGAAACATATGAACTCTAATGGTATTACGCCAAGAAAACACGGAAATTGTAATAGGCGCCCAAACAATGCATTTTCATTTGAAGAGTTTTCAAACGTTGTTCAAAAAGTGCCCGTCTACAAAGTTTACCACAAGCAGTCCATCCCAACAGACATGACTCTAAACCTCAAATTTTGCTACCTGCTTGTGAATCAAAACAGTCCGTTTTTGACACCTATGTATCGGCATGTCAGGCAACGGTAACTAGATCCGTCCAATTAACAACATTTAAAAATTTCTGGTCATCTTGTTGTCCGCATACCGTTTCTCTGGCACAAACAGAAGAAAACAAATCAAAGCTCACAAAATTATATATCACACATTGATGCTGCCAGGAGATATTATATAAAAGATGGGTATCAAAATCGCGAGAGGAACTAGTAAATATCATCTAGGACAGATTTTAAAGAATGTTCATTATACCAATAACTTTGCCCAAAGTATAAGTTTGCCACATCGCACTGATCAAGTCGGACAATTTTATTTTCTATCCGGAAGAAAGGTGAAAGTTTTTGGTATATGCATGGAAGGAAAACGTAAGCAATTTGAAGCTATTGAAAGTTATGGTTTAAACGAGGCCAAAAAAATATGAATCAATTTAACTAAGAGAATAACAGCCTTATTCATAACAAAACAATCTGGCCATCTAACATAAAACAGAACAAACAAAACAAATAAATCAAACGTAAGAAAAACAAAATATTTACAGTAACAAAATAATCAGAACCAAAAAAAAAAAAAAAAAAAATAGATCTCAAAATTAACTCTTTAAGAGGAAATAAGAATTTAGGAGAAATTCAATTGTACAAGCCATAGTAGTCCTTTACCTTTATTCAACATTTTTAAGAATAGAAATAGAAAGAAATATCTATTTCTTGCTTTACTTTTAGCAAAAAATATATCATGCACATACTGGAAAAGAAGATGACAATTCGCAAAAAACCAAAACTAATAGAGAAAGAAATATATTGTTACTTGAGAATTAATATTTTGTTTGCAATTTGAAAAATAATCATAACGAAATAGCTGCCTATTTATGCTGATAATATACAAAGAAAAACAGTATTAATTATAAATGCTTAACATTAAAAACTGTCAACAACTTTATGCATGTGATTGTTAACTAAATCTTGCATTGAATAAGCGATTAAATTTTGATATTCAATAGTTGATGGTTTTGTTATCTTTGTTCTTATAATTGTTTCTGGAGAAAAACAAATCGTTATATGCTGGCTATCTCGCATGGCGCGTTTTAACTGAACAACACAAAACGATACCTCTAATGATGCAGTTCTCTGGTCATACCAAATGTTTGGTTGATGCAGGCAAACAAAATTATTCCAACGATCTAACTGTGATACAGTTAATCATTTAGCGGATGTATTTCGAAAGTCGTCATCAACAAACGAGGTCGTGCAGTTTGAAGAAGAAAACAATGAAACTACCTGGCAATGGAGAAAACGGAAAGCGTTCTTAGCTGCTTTGTTTTAGCCTGTTCCAAGTGTTAGAAAGTATCATAATTTCATCTTACTACATGATAAACCAGGCATAGTTATTGTAAAAGAAAAATGCAATTCTTCGCCGTCCTTCTGAGCAGTTCGATCCGTTAGCTCGTCCTGGAGTTATTCCTGCAGCCGGACTTTCACATGCCAAACAGGAAAATCTTTATTTCTAAGTGCGTCCATTTGTTAGGAAAGAATATCAGGTATATATATATAAAGTTAACAGTTTGATAATAATTAGTAAGTTTTCGCTAATATTAACAAGGCTCGTGACATCATAATCAGCGCGAGAGACATGAAATAGAATAAAAACTTTTAATCTAAAAATAGAAAACCCTTGTTTGAAAATGTGAACCTGAGTCTTATCCCTCTTTTTATTTAGGGAGATTGGATCATTAAACCTGTTTCTTTCGTTTACTGTTGCCAAATAAATAATGAAATATCTCTCACTAGACGGTAAACCGTCGATGCTGCTACACTATCATTAAAAACTCAGATAAGCAACAACTTAGCTAGTAAATTGATGCTTAACTGCTGTGTCTGGTCAAATGATATTGTGACTTCCAAAAAAAGTTAATACCCCATAACCTGATTAACTCCTTAAAATACTGACACAATATTTCTTGTAATTTAATCAAGATAATGTCGATCGTAGTTTGTGTATAGGGAATGTGTTTTTTTTTTATATTCAATGTCATGATGAACAGGTATTCTGAGATGCAATTATTTACTATTGATTCGAAATCCGCACAAGTTTCTCCATTAGCGCTCAGTATAATCTGTGTTGCTCCTTTGTGTTTGTTTTGTTTAAGCCAAAATCTTTCAACTCCAGCCAAATTGAGGTCTTCTTTTTTTTTTTTTTTTTTTTTTTTTTTACAATTGAGTAGTGTTGAATTAACAACTTTTGTACTTTATTCCTAATTTGAACATCAGAAATAATGTCTGCTAGAAATGTTTTTAAGGTGTGTAAAATGGTGTCTATGGTTGCCTATAATTGCTCACATCCACTTCATTTGAACTTTGGTGGAAAGTCGTCTCATTGGCAATCATGCCACATCACCATATTTGTATATCTATCCCATTTTAGTTCAGGAATTTCTGATGTATTCCAAGGTATGCTTTTCTCAAATAAATATGAATATCTTGCGTGTAGACTTTATTATCTATTTCTACATTAAAATAACATTACCTGTTATAGAGGAATGTTAATGGAAATTTCATTTTTTTTATTTATATTTTCTTTAAAAATGTTATAAAACCTATCTTCTCATATTTTGTGTCAACATTTTATCTGATAGATTCCTTTTTATTTGCACTAAATTTGGCTTTATGAATATTCCATGCAAAATGTGGCTATTTTGCACGACTTTTAACTTCAAAATATATCACGGTAAATTTAGTTCCTAAACTAAAATGTGTACTACTTCTAAATGATTCATACCAATCATAACTTGCAAGAGTTATTTTTTTTGATTGGTTTGTTTTCAACACAGGTGCATTTCCTGCAATTCTGTTTTGACAAAATGATTAATCTAGTGTTTTTTTTCTAGAAATTCATAGCAATCTGTCAAAACGCTTCAGCTTATGTTATATTTTAAGGCTGAAAACGACATTTAGAGGACAATTTCATAAACGACAGATAGGTGTTATAGCGCACATTTCAATTTATAAGAAATACTGCCTTGCTTGTTAGCAAATCCTGATAAAACAATGCAGAATTAGTCGGAACCACTGAAGATTCACGTAGCCCTCATGTTAGCTACAGCTAATCAAAGAGTTTGCCTTCTGTCGTACTGTAGAAACACAATGTTTTGGATCTTCGAGAATGGGCAAAAGTAGCAGTTGTCTACTTTCTGATCGTTAACATTAAACTGTTTGAATTATATATCATAAAAAATATAAATGACTTAATAAAATGCAACCCTGATACGATTAGCACAACATTGCAACGGATAAACTAGTGTTCAGAAACAGTGTGTACTCTTGGATCTATTTTTTGTATTTGCTTAGTGCCGATTTGATAGGTACAGCTTAACCTTCTGATGTTGTGATTTAACACCACCGTACTTGGTAAATAATGTGTTACATGATGCTGAACATGGCACCATGTGCTGTGTTCCAAGTCATTATCTTTTTATTCAGTGACTCTGGTTAGTTTGTGTCTTCTAAATTAGATTTTTCGATAAATGTTTTCACAGAGAATAGGCCCTCCGAGTGCATTAAAGATTGTGTTTATATTTATCGGGACCTTTTACAGCTTACTTCATAGTATATAATTGTTCTCATTATTGAAGGCCGTTCAGGTTTCCTTTGTTGTAAACATAATCAGCATGTACTCTCTGGTGGACTGTTGTTCTACTTGCAATCATATTTCCCTTCATATTTAAACTAATACATACATGAGGCAAACACACTTTAAATTTGTACAACCAAATTTATTTAAAAACACATATGTCATTCTATGGATGTTTTCATTCTACTGCGTCAAATTCTGGTATCCTACAAATAATAATGCAAGTTTTATTGATAACAAAACACAGTAAAATATGTATTTCGACGTAAGCATGTTAACACTTCGTCAATATATCCATTGGTTCACAGTTAGACTGATAATCAAATGTGTGTTGTAAAAAATGTCTTAAATTCAAACTTTTGTTTGAATGATGATGATTTGTGTCATTTGTCTTTATCGAGTGTTGAATCACTTTTGATTGTGCCAATAAGTCGTAAGATACCGACTACCGTGTTTACGACAGGCTATGCGGTTGACCGCAACAAATAACGTGTAACGGGTTAAAAAAAATTACATTAGCCTTGATTTTGTCCAAAGGAAATGTAACCGCTATTGTTGGGAAATCACGCTATATATGAACGATACAAAGTAAACGATAATATGTTTTATGTCAGTGGTCGGGTGATACGATTCTCCTGATTTATGACAAGAGTATCACAAATAGGAGATTGTTTGTAAAACCTAGCAACTGTTCCGCCTTAATATATACTAAAAAAATCAATGGTCGTTTAGCCACAAAAAGCACCTCGTCATTATAACTTGTCATTCTTATCTTTAAAAATAACTTTGTGTTTGTCAAGTGTTTGAATCATGCGGACTTTGTCCCTTTAATCATTATGGAAAGCAAGCAATGCGTTAATGATGCCTCTATACGCAAAATACAAGCAATTATGATCTGATCAAGTTAAGTTACAGAATCAAGTATTTCGAAACTTGAATAACACTATATTAATATAGTATGTGTATTGATAGGTTACTGCTTGTTTGAACAAAAACCAGATCACCTTAACACAAAAATACATACTGTCAAGTTTAATAGCCTTTTTTTCCTCCGCCGTATCCACCACCATATCCACCGCCGTATCGTCCACCGTATACACCGCCGTATCGTCCACCGTACCCACTACTTACTCCTAATCCGTATCCGCCGACTAATCCACCGACTATTCCACCACTATACCCACCACCATATCCACCACCGTATCCACCGCCGTATGCAACACCGATTCTGCCACCATACCCACCGCCGTATCCACCATAATTACGGCTAGTAACCCACCATGGGAATCCCTGACAACACGTGTTCTATTGTCCTGGGAACAGAGGTGTTAGTCTGCATTTTTTGTCCAAAGTTCTCTCCCATTTACGACACAAACCGGGGCGGCATGTGCACCAAGTGTTACCAGCTTGAGTAAAGCATATATAAATTAAATATCCATCCAATGAATTAACAAGCAGTATAAGTTCAACTGTAGTTCATTAAGGTATCATTATTGTGTACAGAAATATTACAATTGTCAGTATATAAAAAATTATCGGTATTACCGATTCACAATTACGAAGTTTAGATTTTTTATATTTTATATTCTTTGTTTGGCTTGATTAAATATCCAATCAGATACTTTCAAAACATATCAATATTTTTTTTCACAAAATCATGCAAACTGACATGTTCTAAAATGCAAAACGCTATGGTTATTGAGTTCAGCAAAAATTGAAGATTAGGTGATTAAATTAGCTCACGCTTTATCTTTCATAATATCGAAGCAATGAACATATATCATTTTATAAACGGTTTTATAACCAAAAAAATATGATCTCATGCAAATGCTATCATCCATTTTAATATAGACAAATAACTAAATATTTATGAAGAACATGGATAGATTCAAATTTTGCACACTAGATATATTTGTAAGGGTAGTTAATAAAGAGTTATTATTTTTGGTTCTGTTTAAAAACAGTAAATTTATTAAAAACATTTTGCGAAAAGAATCATCGAAGTAATAAAACTGTTATAAGGCTACAGCTTAAAATATATCCAAACGATAGGACTCCCATGCCATTGTTGTTGACGATGAATCACTATGATAACTATAGTAAAAATTCATTCCAAGTCTTGGAAAAGTCGGAATATCATATGTACATACCTCCTCCTAACAAACCGTAGCTTGCACCTCCGGTATAAACTAAACCACCGCCAATACCTGCACCTCCACCAATAACTGCACCTCCGCCAATACCTGCACCTCCACCAATAACAGCACCTCCGCCAATACCTCCAGCTCCACTGTACCATGAACCACCCCTATAACCTCCACCACCGCCATATCCTACAGCAACACCGTAACCTAAACCACCTCCATATCCTCCGTCAATTTTTCCGTATCCGTAGACAGTTCCAACAATGGCTACCAATAGTACAGTAAAAACTCCCATGGTTACGTACTTCAGATTGATCCGACTAGTAGTGATGATAAGCCTTTGTTCACGTCTATTTATATAATCATAATATACAAAAAAATGACCATATGCACAAATATTGACTTGATAAATGATGAATAAGTGTAAACAATTTTTTGTTATGTGGTTATAGAAGTGATGATTTAAGCAAAAAATTGACAAAGGGAAAATTTAATACGAAACCATTATGTGTTTTATGGTGTTTTATGACGCATAATTATAAATTTTGAGGTAAATACGTGATTTTGAAAAGGAACATGTGTAATACCAATGGCAATCGTTCTGTATCAGCCAATACTTTTCATAATAATGTCAGCCACTGCTTCAAAAGGATCAAATTAAAAAACAACAAAAAAAACAGAAAAGGATCAAAGTTTCAAAGTTTCAAACATATAATGAAAGGTGAATGGTTGGCTTGAGTAATGTATCGGGGTACTGTGTGTATATCGGGTTGATACGGTAGTTCTCACTTTAAGATGTAACTACATATACAAATAACTACTTATATGTTTAAACGTTGAATAAAAGAAGCAAGATACATGTTAAAGCAGTAATTGCAATAGTTCATTATCCGTATTTTAATGCCAATACATGAGTTTATATATAAACATATATCACCTTTTTTTACAAAGATGTTGATAAAGCCCGTAAAATTAGAAACGATTGATGCAAAATTATTGATTCTATAAGTAAACTTATTCTAAATGGTTATCAAATGTTATATATAAGTAAAATTTGTAAATATTGTTTTATCGGTACTAATATCAGTTTGTGTCTGTAAACTAAACAGAACGAACTATGTATTGATAAATATGTACAGTTATGCGAACTCATGATCCTACATCCTGTTAATACTGTTAACTTATAGTTTGGCAGTGCACAAGGTCTTGCGTTTCTAAGACTGTGTATAAAGTATTTAAGTGGAGGAATAAAACAACTAGTTCATCGTGTTCATAGTCCAATTGCTTTCCATGTTATATTATCCAACTTCAATCATGTTTAGCTATTCTGTCTAAAGTTCTAATAAAGTAATAGTTATTTCATACCAAAACTATACCTATAAACTATTCTAAAAGACGATGCTGAAATTAATTTTAAAATCATTGAATGAGTGGCAATACAAAAAAATGGCTGAAAAAAATAAAAAGTTACGTCACATAAAACAAACTTGTTGTTCTTCCGACTTTTTAAATCCTGATATATTAAAAAAAACAAATTATTTTACTTATGCAGAATAATGAAATACTTAAGTTGACTTCGAATTAAAATGTTTTGATAATGGATAACGGATATTTGGGCGAAATTTTTTAAAAATAATACATGCAAGCAGCCGATATTTATGAAGAACATGGATAGATTCAAATTTCGCACACTAGATATATTTGTAAGGGTAGTTAATAAAGAGTTATTATTTTTGTTTAATAAATTTTACGAACTTTTTAGTTTGTTTAGTAAACATTTACATGTGTATATGTATATAGCAGGATTTAGACAAAATTTATTGCGATTATCTACATGTATCACCTTCAAATGGATTCAATGATGAAGACATTAATTCTACTATCGATGCTGAAAGTAATGGAGTTGAAGAAGGAGAAAATGTCCAACATTTATATGAAACTGACGAAACTCCACAAGCAGCTGCAGCTTACAGCAGAATGATTATAACACTTGTATTAGTAATGAAGGTTTAAACATGGCCAACATAACTGGAGATTGCGGTTGTCTATCTAAATATATTAAAAAATTTAAACAGTGTAAAATCATAAGTCATATACTTTCTATGCGAGAACTATCTAAAGAGGATAACATATGTATTTGATGGGTAAATTAAAATGAAAAGGCGTCGATAAATCACCTTCAAGATATGGAGACCGAAGGCGAACCAGATATTCGTACACATTTGACGACAGAGAAGTTTGTCGAGATGTATTTCTTCTCACACATGATATTGAAGAGACCCATTTAAAATCTTTGTTAAAACATATGAACTCTAATGGTAATACGCCAAGAAAACACGGAAATTATAATAGGCGCCCAAAAATGCCTTTTAATTTGAAGAGATTTCAAACGTTGTTCAATAAGTGCCCGTCTACAAGGTTTAAAAATGTCTGGTCATCTTGTTGTCCGCATACCGTTTCTCTGGCGCAAACAGAAGAAAACAAATCGAAGCTCACAAAATTATATATCACACATTGTAGCTGCCAGGAGATATTATATAATAGATGGGTATCAAAATCGCGGGAGGAATTCAGTAACTATCATCTAGGACAGATTTTAAAGAATGTCCATTATATCATTAACTTTGCCCAAAGTATAAGTTTTCCACATCACACTGATCAAGTCGGACAATTGTATTTTCTATCCGGAAGAAAGGTGAAAATTTTTGGTATATGCATGGAAGGAAAACGTAAGCAATTTGAAGCTATTGAAAGTTATAGTTTAAACGAGGCCAAACAAATATGAATCAATGTAACTGAGAGAATAACAGCCTTATTCATAACAAAACAATCTGGCCATCTAACATAAAACAGAACAAACAAAACAAATAAATCAAACGTAAGAAAAAAAAAATATTAACAGTAAAAAAATAATCAGAACCAAAAAAAAAAAAATAAATCGCAAAATTAACACTTAAAGAGGAAATAAGAATTTAGGAGAAATTCAATTGTACAAGCCACAGTACTCCTTTACCTTTATTCAACATTTTTAAGAAAAGAAATAGAAAGAAATATTCATTTCTTGCTTTACGTTTAGCAAAAAATATATCATGCAAATACTGGAAAAGAAGATGACAATTCGCAAAAAACCAAAACTAATAGAGAAAGAAATATATTGTTACTTGAGAATTAATATTTTGTTTGCAATTTGAAAAATAATCATAACGAAATAGCTGCCTATTTATGCTGATAATATACAAAGAAAAACAATATTAATTATAAATGCTTAACATTAAAAACTGTCAACAAATTTCTGCATGTTATTGTTAACTAAATCTTGCATTGAGTAAGCGAAGCGCAATTAAATTTTGATATTCAATAGTTGATGGTTTTGTTAATTTAGTTCTTATAATTGTTTCAGGAGAACAAAAAATCGTTATATGCTGGCTATCTCGCATGGCGCGTGTTAACTGAACAACACAAAACGATACCTCTAATGATGCAATTCTCTGGTCATACCAAATGTTTGGTTGATGCAGGCAAACAAAATTATTCCAACGATCTAACTGTGATACAGTTAATCATTTAGCGGATGTATTCCGAAAGTCATCATCAACAAACGAGGTCGTGCAGTTTGAAGACGAAAACAATGAAACTACCTGGCAATGAAAAAACGGAAACCGTTCAAAACTGCTTTATTTTAGCCTGTTCCAAGAGTTAGAAAGTATCATAATTTCATCTTACTCCATGATAAACCAGGCAGAGTTATTGTAAAAGAAAAATGCAGTTCTTCGCCGTCCTTTTGGGCAGTTCGATCCGTTGGCCCGTCCTGGAGTTATTCCTGCAGCCGGACTTTCACATGCCAAACAGGAAAATCTTTATTTCTAAGTGCGTCCATTTGTTCGGAAAAGATATCAGGATGCATTTTTCCAAGCACCAAGAGAAGAGTAAACGTGTAATAGCCATATATCAACCAACCAAAATCGATTTCAAAGTACTCGAAAAAACGTTAGAGCATATTTTGTGTGTAATTAAAATTGAAAATTCTGAACTAGTTTTTATCGGATCGTTGTCAATTTCTTGCACCAAGTTGGCATTGGTATTGTCTGTTTATATAAGACACAAACCCAAAATATACAATTTTTGCTATAAGGGCCGTTTTTTGCGTGTCGGGCGTCATATTGTCTGAAAATAATCGATAAACGTGTTATGAAATTACAGAGAATAATTCATATCAAAAGCATGCACTGCTCGTGAACCCCAATCAAAAAATCATTTACCTACAGTAACACAAGAAATAAGAAATGTGTTATTCTGTCGATATGCATGTTGTCTGTCCAACATCTCAACCTATAAAGTTTAAAGTTTGATAATAATTAGTCAGTTTTCGCTTATATGAACAAGGCTCGTGACATCATAATCAGCGTGAGAGACATGAAATAGAATAAAAACTTTAAATCTAAGAATAGAAAACCCTTGTTTGAGAATGTGAACCTGAGTCTTATCCCTCTTTTTATTTATGGAGGTGGGATCATTAAACCTGTTTCGTTCGTTTACTGTTACCAAATAAATATTGGAATATCTCTCACTAGACGGTAAACCGTCGATGCTGCTACACTATCATTAAAAACTCAGATAAGCAACAACTTAGCTAGTAAATTGATGCTTAACTGCTGTGTCTGGTCAAATGATATTGTGACTTCCAAATAAAGTTAATACCCTATAACCTGATTAACTCCTTAAAATACTGATACAATATTTCTTGTAATTTAATCAAGATAATGTCGATCGTAGTTTGTGTATAGAGAATGTGTTTTTTTTTTATATTCAATGTCGTGATGAACAGGTATTCTGAGATGCAATTATCTACTATTGATTCGAAGTCCGCACACGTTTCTCCATTAGCGCTCAGTATAATCTGTGCTGCTCATTTATGTTTGTTTTGTTTAAGCCAAATTAAGGTATTCTTTTTTTTTTTTTTTACAATTGAGTAGTCTTGAAATAACAACTTTTGAACTGTATTCCTAATTTGAACAACAGAAATAATGTCTGCTAGAATTTTTTTTAAGATGTGTAAAATGGTGTCTATGGTTGCCTATAATTGCTCACATCCACTTCATTTGAACTTTACTGGAAAGTCGTCTCATTTGCAATCATGCCACATCTCCATATTTGTATATCTACACCGTTTTAGTTCAGGAATTTCGGACGTATTCCAAGGCTCGTTTTTCTCAAATAAGTATGAATATCTTGCGTGTAGACTATAGGTTGCACTTTGTAAATACAGCTGTTTCTCAAACCACGCCTCTTTTGGGGAGATATATAATATTCATAGATATGTTAATTTGTTAACGTACTGGTTCCCATTTATGATTTCTGTGTTTCATTTCATAGAGACATCACTTGGGAATGTAACCAGTATAGAAAAACATGGTAGCGCCTAAATTTTAATTCTTAGGAGGTCCAAAAATGGAGGTAAGGGTAGTACAGAATTTTAGTATAAGTTTAAACTCTTAGAAGTTCAGGGCATATAAATGTTGAAAATATGCCGCACAGCCCTATATTTTGACCTTTGAATAAAATAGTAGTGCATGTAAACTTTCCTTTCTAGGATATTATTTTTCACGAAACTTCATAGTAAAAGTGTCACAGTTTTAGCCGCAAAGGGAGTTCCTATGGGAAATTGCATTGTCTATATTTACAGAATTGCAACCTATATAGGGTTAAAAATTAGAACATACAGAATTTCACAAAATCTTGTTTATCTCAGAGATTTTTAAGGATTTAACTCAAATATGAAGTTTAATAAATATTTCATGAAGATTGAAAAAATCCTGGGCCTAAACTATGATGAGTCAGCATAAATTCACAGTTTACAGTATGCATTGTTTACTTAAAGCCCTGAATTAAAAATAAATTCATAATATATGCCTATTTGTAATTTAAATTGTTTAGAAGTGCTTATATTTACTCTTCGCAGTCATTGCAACTCATTGATCCTTCTTAAATATTTTTGGTGGGGTGTTTTTGTCCTGTCGATAACCCAAAAGTAAGCCGTAACACCTAAATGTGCTTTTTTGTGACTGCGGCATAAAAAGTACAAGCTAGAATTACAAAAAGACCTCAATAAAACTTACAATAGTGTGTTCTATCCTAAATATGTACCAAATATTCCACATTGCTAGAAACAGGGAAAAAAATTAGGAAATGTGAGGCCCCAGGGGCAAAAAACAGAGAAAAATGCCTCCCCCTGGGTCATAAAACAGATAATTTAACTTCTAAATGCTATGCTTTTATTATTTTAAAGGTCTTTTGTAAGGAAAACAATAACTGTGCTAGGAAGTTATGCAAAAATCAGATGTAAGCAGTCATTTCTATCAAACTTTTAGTGAATTTATGCACCAGACTGATATCTTCATAAATACAACTTTTGCAAATATAGATTTGTTTAAACACTTGTAGTTCATATATTAACTAACTTATGTTAGATATATGGTTAGGGATGATAATGTTGTAACATGAATTCTAAACTGACCATTTGAGGCAGAAATTGTGAACTTTCATTGACAGATAGGCATACAGTAAGATGTGGACTGGAGACACAGGCAGGATTGGATACTTTGTATAATCTTGAATGTTGGAATGATTAACTACTAAACATTACATTTATAGTATTTTAAAATGCTTTCAATTTGTTATCAGAACAGTTTCAAACAGGTTTTAGACAGTTAATGTCAGAAAACATGCACATAGGGTAAGCTGGCAATTATTAAAGTCTTGTTTTCAAATTCTTTAAAAAATTGAAACAGGGGTAGGGGTATAAAATGTACTGTAAAAGGAAACTTAGAGTATATGCAGTGATTTCTTTAAGGCTATAATTCTGATAAATAAGTATTGTTTTGAGAACAAGTGTTTTTAGAGAGTTTTCTATTTGAATAAATGTTTGTATAGGTTGCACTTTGTAAATACAGCTGTTTCTCAAACCACGCCTCTTTTGGGGAGATATATAATATTCATAGATATGTTAATTTGTTAACGTACTGGTTCCCATTTATGATTTCTGTGTTTCATTTCATAGAGACATCACTTGGGAATGTAACCAGTATAGAAAAACATGGTAGCGCCTAAATTTTAATTCTTAGGAGGTCCAAAAATGGAGGTAAGGGTAGTACAGAATTTTAGTATAAGTTTAAACTCTTAGAAGTTCAGGGCATATAAATGTTGAAAATATGCCGCACAGCCCTATATTTTGACCTTTGAATAAAATAGTAGTGCATATAAACTTTCCTTTCTAGGATATTATTTTTCACGAAACTTCATAGTAAAAGTGTCACAGTTTTAGCCGCAAAGGGAGTTCCTATGGGAAATTGCATTGTCTATATTTACAGAATTGCAACCTTTATTATTTATTTCTACATCAAAATAACATTACCTGTTATAAAGGAATGTTAATGGAATTTTCATTTTTTTTATTTGTATTTTCTTAAAAATGTTATAAAACCTATCTTCTCATATTTTGTGTCAACATTTTATCTGATAGATTCCTTTTTATTTACACTAAATGTTTGTTTTATGAATAATCCATGCAAAATGTGGCTATTTTGCACGACTTTTAACTTCAAAATATATCACGGTGATTTTAGCTCCTAAACAAAAATGTGTACTACTTCTAAATAATTCTTACCAATCATATCTTGTAAGAGTTATTTTTTTTTATTGGTTTGTTTTCAAAACAGGTGCATTTCCTGCAATTCTGTTTTGACAAAATGATTAATCTAGTGTTTTTTTTTCTAGAAATTTGTCAAAACGCTTCAGCTTATTTTTTATTTTTAAGGCTCAAAACGACATTTAGAGGACAATTTCATAAACGACAGATAGGTGTTATAGCGCACATTTCAATTTATAAGAAATACTGCCTTGCCTGTTAGCAAATCCTGATAAAACAATGCAAAATTGGTCGAAACGACTGAAGATTCACGTAGCCCTCATGTTAGCTACAGCTAATCAAAGAGTTTGCCTTCTCTCGTACAGCAGAAACACAATGTTTTGGATCTTCGAGAAGGGGCAAAAGTAGCAGTTGTCTACTTTCTGATCGTTAACATTAAACCGTTTGAATTATATATCATAACAAAATACAAATGACTTAATAAAATGCAACCCTGATACGATTAGGACAACATTACAACGAATAAACTAGTGTTCAGAAACAGTGTGTACTCTTGGATCTATTTCTTGTATTTGCTTAGTGCCGATTTGATGGGTACAGCTTAATCTTCTCATGTTGTGATTTAACACCACCGTACTCGGTAAATAATGTGTTACATGATGCTAAACATGGCACCATTTAGTGTGTTCCAAGTCATTAGCTTTTTATTCAGTGACTATGGTTAGTATGTGTCTTCTAAATTAGATTTTTCGATAAGTGTTTTCACAGAGATCAGGCCCTCCGATTGCATTGAAGATTGTGTTTATATTTTGTCTTGTCGGGACGTTTTACAGCTTACTTCATAGTATAGAATTATTCTCATTGTTGAAGGCCGTTCAGGTTTCCTTTGCTGTAAACATAATTAGCATGTACTCTCTGGTGGACTGTTGTCCTACTTTCAATCATATTTCCCTTTATATTGAACTAATACATTATTGAGCTAAACACAACTTAAATTTGTACAACCAAATTTATTTAAAAACACAAATTGTCATTCTATGGATGTTTTTATTCTACTGCGTCAAATTCTGGTGTCCTACAAATGATAATACAAGTTTTATTGATAACAAAACACAGTAAAATATGTATTTCGACGTTAGCATGTAAACACTTCGTCAATATATCCATACTTTCACAGTTAGACTGATAACCAAATTTGTATTTTAAAAAATGTCTATCTTTAATACATACTTTTGTTTGAATGATGATGATTTGTGTCATTTGTCTTTATTGAGTGTTGAATCACTGTTGATTGTGCCAATAAATCGTTAGATACCGACTTCCGTGTTTACGACAGGCTATGCGGTTGACCGCAACATCAAACGTTTAACGGATTAAAAAAAAATTACATTAGCCTTGACTTTGTCCAAAGGAAATGTAACCGCTATTGTTGGGAAATCACGCTATTTATGAACCATACAAAGCAAAAGATAATATTTTTTATGTCAGCGGTGGTGGTACGATTTATGACAAGAGTATCACAAAAAGGAGATTGTTTGTAAAATCTAGCAACTGTTCCGCCTTTATATATACTAAAAAATCAATGGTCGTTTAGCCACAAAAAGCACATCGTCATTATAACTTGTTATTCTTATCTTTGAAAATAACATTGTGTTTGTCAAGTGTTTGAATCATGCGGACTTTGTCCCTTTATTTATTATGGAAATCAAGCAATGCGTTAAAGATGCCTCTATACGCAAAATACAAGCAATTGAGATCTGATCAAGTTAAGTTACAGAATCAAGTATTTCAAAACTTGAATAACACTTTATTAATATAGTGCGTGTATTGATAGGTTACTGCTTGTTTGAACAAAAAAACCAGATCACCTTAACAAGAAAATACATACTATCAAGTTTAATAGCCTTTTTTTCCTCCGCCGTATCCACCACCATATCCACCGCCGTATCGTCCACCGTATACACCGCCGTATCCACCACCGTACCCACCACTTACTCCTAATCCGTATCCGCCGACTAATCCACCGACTATTCCACCACTATACCCACCGCCATATCCACCACCGTATCCACCGCCGTATGCAACACCGATTCCGCCACCATACCCACCGCCGTATCCACCATAATTACGGCTAGTAACCCACCATGGGAATCCCTGACAACACGTGTTCCATTGTCCTGGGAACAGTGGTGCTAGTCTGCATTTTTTGTCCAAAGTTTTCTCCCATTTACGACACAAACCGGGACGGCATGTACACCAAGTGTTACCAGCTGAAGTAAAGCATATATAAGTTTAATATCCATTAAATGAATTAACAAGCAGTAAAAGTTCAACTGTAGTTCATAAAGGTAGCATTATGTGTACAGACATATTACAATTGTCAGTATATAACAAATTATCGGTATTACCGATTCACACTTACGAAGTTTAGATTTTTATAATTTCATATACTTTGTTTGGTTTGATTAAATATCCAATCAGATACTTTCAAAACATATCAATATTCTTTTACACAAAACCATGCAAACTGACATGTTATAAAATGCAAATCGCAATGGTAATTGAGTTCAGCAAAAAATTGAAGATTAGGTGATTAAATTAGCTCACGCTTAATCTTTCATAATATCGAAGCAATGGCCATATATCATGTTATACACGATTGTATAACCAAAAATAGATGATCTCATGCAAATGCTATCACCCATTTTAATATAGACAAACAACTAAATATGAACAGTTATTTTTTGTGGTTCTGTTCAAAATCAGTAAATGTATTAAAAAACATAAAGCGAAAAGAAACATCGAAGTAGTAAAACTTGTATAAGGCTACAGCTTAAAATATTTCTAAACGATAAGACTCCCATGCCATTGTTGTTGCCGATGAATCAATATGATAACTATAATAAAGCTTCCTTCCAAGTCTTGGAAAAGTCGACAAATCATATGTACATACCTCCTCCTAATAATCCACCGTAGCTTGCACCTCCTGTATAAACTAAACCACCGCCAATACCTGCACCTCCACCAATAACTGCTCCTCCGCCAATACCTGCACCGCCACCAATAACAGCACTTCCGCCAGTACCTCCAGCTCCACTGTACCATGAACCACCCCTATAACCTCCACCACCGCCAAATCCTACAGCAACACCGTAACCTGATCCACCTCCATATCCTCCGTCAAATTTTCCGTATCCGTAGACAGTTCCAACAATGGCTACCAATAGTACAGTAAAAACTCCCATGGTTACGTACTTCAGATTGATCCGACTAGTAGTGATGATACGCCTTTGTTTAGGTCTATTTATATAGTCATAATATACAAAAAAAATGACCATATGCACAAATATTAACTTGATAAATGATGAATTATTGTAAACGATTTTTGTTATGTGGTTATAGAAGTGATGATTTAAGCAAAAATTTGACAAAGGGGAAATTTAATACGAAACCATTATGTGTTTTATTGTGTTTTATGACGTATAATTATAAATTTTGAGGTAAATAAGTCAATTTGAAAAGGTACATGTATAATACCAATGACAATCGTTCTGTATCAGCCAATACTATTCATAATAATGTCAGCCACAACTTCAACAGGATCAAATTAAAATAACAAACAGAAAAGGATCGAAGTTTCAAACATATAATGAAGGGTGAATCGTTGGCTTGTGTAATGTATCGGGATACTGTGTGTATATCGGGTTGATACGGTAGTACTCACTTTAAGATGTAACTACATATGCAAATCACTACTTAATATATGTTTAAACGTTGAATAAAGGAAGCAAGATACATGATAAAACAACAATTGCAATAGTGCATTATCCGTATTTGAATACCAATACATGAACTTATATATAAACATAAATCACCTTTTTTACAAAGATGTTGATAAAGCCCGTAAAATTAAAAACGATTGATGCAAAATTATTGATTCTATAAGTAAACTTATTCTAAATGATTATCAAATGTTATACATAAGTAAAATCTGTAAATATTGTTTTATCGGTACTAATATCAGTTTGTGTCTGTAAATTAAACAGAACGAACTATGTATTGATAAATATGTACAGTTATGCGAACTCATAATCCTACATCATGTTTATACTGTTAACTTATAGTTTGGCATTGCACAAGGTCCTGCGTTTCTAAGACTGTGTATAAAGTATTTAAGTGGAGGAATAAAACAACTAGTTCATCGTGTTCATAGTCCAATTGCTTTCCATGTTATATTATCCAACTTCAATCATGTTTAGCTCGTCTGTCTTAAGTTCTAATAAAGTAATAGTTATGTCATACCAAAACTATATCTATAAACTATTCTAAAAGACGATGCTGAAATTAATTTTAAAATCATTGATAGTGTGGCAATACAAAAAAATGGCTGAAAAAATAAATAGTTACGTCACATAAAACAAATTTGTTGTTCTTCCGACTTTTTAAATCCTGATGTATTAAAAAAAAACAATCTATTTTACTTATGCAGAATAATGAAATACTTAAGTTGACTTCGAATTAAAATGTTTTGATAACGGAAAACAGATATTTGGGCGAAACTTTTCAAAATAATACATGCAAGCAGCCGATATTTATGAAGAACATGGATAGATTCAAATTTCGCACACTAGATATATTTGTAAGGGTAGTTAATAAAGAGTTATTATTTTTGTTTAATAAATTTTACGAACTTTTTAGTTTGTTTAGTAAACATTTACATGTGTATATGTATATAGCAGGATTTAGACAAAATTTATTGCGATTATCTACATGTACCACCTTTAAATGGATTCAATGATGAAGACATTAATTCTACTATCGATGCTGAAAGTAATGGAGTTGAAGAAGGAGAAAATGTCCAACATTTATATGAAACTGACGAAACTTCACAAGCAGCTGCAGCTTACAGCAGAATGATTATAACACTTGTATTAATAATGAAGGTTTAAACATGGCCAACATAACTGGAGATTGCGGTTGTCTATCCAAATGTATTAAACAATTTAAACAGAGTAAAATCATAAGTCATATACTTTCTATGCGAGAACTATCTAAAGAGGATAAAATATGTATTTGATGAGTAAATTAAAATCAAAAGGCGTCGATAAATCACCTTCAAGATATGGAGACCGAAGGCGAACCAGATATTTGTAAACTTTTGACGACAGAGAAGTTTGCCGAGATGTATTTCTTCTTACACATGACATTGAAGAGACCCATTCAAAATCTGTTTTGAAACATATGAACTCTAATTGCGCTTATAAGACTGTGTATAAAGTATTTAAGTGGAGGAATAAAACAACTAGTTCATCGTGTTCATAGTCCAATTGATTTCCATGTTATATTATCCAACTTCAAACAGTTTTAGCTATTCTGTCTAAAGTTCTAATAAAGTAATAGTTATGTCATACCAAAACTATACCTTATCCTGACTTGTGCTGAAAATCCAATATACCTGTAGTTAAATATTAGTGCGCACTGGTTCCGAAAATTTAGTAGTACAAAAACAGTTTTTTTTATGTTCTGAGCAACAGCGTACATATAGTATCATAGTTTCATATATTCAAAAGAAACGTTAAACTGGGTTCTACAGTGACTTTTAGAAATGAAACATACGGCTCACAATCATATTTATACCTGTCATTCCTTGGATATAAATGTTGATTTAGTTCAAATATCTTCGTTGGCCGAAGGTACGCTCACAGTCAAAAATGTTAAAAATGTGAAAAAAAGAACGTCGTTGTTTTCGTTGAATCATCGATATATTTAAACGAACTGCGAACTGGAGATGATTTACGGTATTCACTCAATCAGACGATATCATTTTCTTCATATTATAATGGTGAGTTTCTTCATTACTTATTTTACCATGTTTATATCTACAAAAAAGGAACAGTACTCCAGTATTTATATTTGAATGAATTAAAGTGAGATGTTCACAGACAGTGTCGAGTGTTGACTCAAAATCAAAAGGGAACTGTGACAAAATTTGAGGAATAATAAAACAAAAGATATTCTATAATTGGTTCATATTCGAACAATTCTTATTTGACTGAATTTTAATATTTATTACACTGTTACACACGATAACCGTGGATTGGCATGTTCAAGCATGCATACGTCTTTGTTTCACTTGTTTTCTTATGCACCCGACGTAGTGTAATTGTTATACCAGCTGAAGTAAGATGTAGAGGTTTTCAGTTCAAATATCACTATATACACTACTTGTCTTTTTTTCCTATCATTTTTACTTTCCTTTCTTATTATTTTTTTTCTGTTTTTTTTTTTTCTTCATCTTCTTCACAAAGTACTTCAAGATTTATGAACACATTTGAATAAAATTCATTTTCATACTGTGTTTGTTTGTGAAATTTAGTGCGACAAGGCATATTCAAGAGTAATCTCAACAATTTCTTCATTGTAAAACATTCCGTTGACATGTAGATGACTTTTAAATCAGAATATATTAGGTCAGTGTATCTCTGTGTAGAGTTTTGACGTGTTAACCATCACTAATTATATGAACATATTTGGTTTATTTCTTTCCAGACCGATTGGTCTAACTTTTAAAGAATCAACCAATCTGATGCAAGGTTGCAATAATATGAATGTCAAGGCATGTACAAGTGACCTGTGTAAGATTCCTATTTATCCTGGCGTAATTGAAACTAAACATATTTCATTTGATAGTAATCGTGTGTTATTGGCAATTCTAACTTGACGTACTTCTTTCGCTTTGTTAACAACAGCATGATAAAATTATCGATATATCTATACTTAGCCACGTAAATCGACATGTATCGTAACCTATGTGCAAACACTATGTAGATTTCGTTGTGTTCAAATTGAAACTGAAAAGGAAACTACAGAAACGTTATACCTATTCTAATGCATATTGTTTCGGCCAGAAATTCGCCTTTAATTGTAGCCAACAAAAGATACAAATCAATAATACAATTTAACAAGTGAATTATACACAAGTTTACAAGAAGTATTACACAAAAAGAAATGTCAACTTAACTGTCAAAATATATGTCTGATCTTTTGTCTTTTCTTTATCCGGAAATGTTCTCGGGAATCCACGCAGAATATTACGTCCAATAGGTCACACAATCTAGTATGATGTAGTTTGAAAATAAAAGTGTCAATCCAACTGCTGAGAATATTAATGTCTATCGATGTCTATGTCTGAAAGTTAAACTTTAATGTCTGTATATATATTTGTCACGGAAATCTCTAAAACACTGTAGAAAATAAAACTACTAGAACACTTTATAACGGAAACGTCTAGAATACTATTGACGTTTAAATTAAGCAACTTTTATTATGATCATTCTGGAAACGTTATGTTATGTAAGTAAAATAGACAGTTCTAATCATTCCATCAGTCTCTATGATTGTTCCAGTGATTTCTAAACTGCACAGTTACAATATCATTTTCTAAACAAGAACAAAGTATGTAAAAATATTATTAGGCCACACAAAACAAATTAGGCTAACTAAATAAATATGATAGTTACAATATCATAACAATATCAAAAAGAATTAATGCAAAAGATCTTAAAAATGTAGAAAATAAAATAAAATTACGCGAAATTTCATGAATGATCTTGACGCATTAAGGTCATGTCAAAATGTGACGTCATACTAATGAAAACTCTCAAGCTGAATATTATTTAGTTACGTGTACGCTCTCAATTCGTATAATATTGCCTTCAAATAGGGTTTTGGGGTAGGTGTTGTTTCTTTTTCTATTCTATTGCATCATCGCATATTCATGGATTTCAGCAAGTCAACATGGCGGCTCAATCCTTAGTGACGGCATGTCAACTGTGGATTTAACAGTAAATAGTAGCCAACACCAAAAAATGTTTTGGATAAGAATTATAAGGATTGAACACCTTTTTTTCCTAGTGGTTATTTAAGAAATAATTCATGCAAGCCTTAGATTTATCTGAAGTGTGTAGCTCTTATCTTTCTGGGGATAAAATATAACAGCCATACACACGGCAATCTTACCTTCGCTTCAATTTTTCAAATTGCCGTATTTGTTCTATCAGAAGCGAACTAACTCATGCAACCTATAGATTTGATACCATTTTCTTTAGACCTGAGCCGTTATTTTAAAACCTGGGTAACGTTCGAGATAAAACTCGAATAAAACGACCCAGGACATGTAAACATTTCTTTCAAATCTATGGCTTGCAATAATTGTTTCTAAATTAGGGTTTTACTTAACAAATCTCGTAACATATGTGTTATTGTTTTAAAGGTTTCTAGGAAGAAACATCCTGGAAAGAAATTAATAGACAGAAATATCAATATATTTCTACAATAAAGGAAATTATTTGAAATAAATTTAATATCTCATTGATGATTAGGATTTATTATAAAATCGAAAAATTAGGCAAATTCTGTTGATTCACACAATATTGAAAATTGTGCTATTACAAATGAATGTACGCTAATCATGTAATATATTCATTGTGTTCTCGTACCATTATCTGACTGTATTTACATCCATGCGTACATATTTTTTTAAAACCATCAAATGTTCCAATATTCCAGTGGTATGTAGGTGAACAGCCACGTATAAAGTGGGTGGTGTGGTTATTCAATCGAAATTCTCACATTGTTAAGAAATTATATATTTTATAACTAGAGAAAAGGAAAATACAATAGTTTTGAAATGTTTTTTCCTTGCAAACCCTCCTCCTTGTGTCTTGCCTCATTCATTTACAGTAGCATGGTTAGTGTAATTGGTGTTTAGTAACGTTCATGTCTAGACCAGTGCGTGTTTTTTTCACTGTATAATTGAACAGGTGGACGTTATTAAATTAAACGCATAAAAAACAACCTAGAACCCCATGTTCCTATTGTTGGTACATGTAAATGGGCAAACCATTCCCTGCACACATTTGCAGTAAAAAAAAAAAAAAACATTTGCTTGCCGTATTTTTTTTTAAAGATTTTCCTTTTGTATAATACATCGTGGGGTGCCAGGATTGATAAAATGAGAAAAAAATCTATGATCGTTCTTTTATTTGTTCAATGATGACACCCATATATGTGTTATACGAAAAACAAACTTAAGATATATATACCGTAACATACTGTATTGTGTCTTTGTTTGTGTTATAATGCACCTCCTTTATCGGCTTTAATGGAAACAAAATATCCAGTACATAATTGAACAGTTGGACGTTAAACGCAAAAGAAAAAGAAAAAAACACGTTCATATTGAGACTAGTGCGGTTATTTTGTTTGTTTTTATTTTCACTTTATAATTGAACAGATGGACGTTACTATACAAAACGCACACGAAAAAAGAACCCCTCGTTCATATTGTTGGTATCTGGACAAACAATTCCCAGTACATTTTTGCAGAAAAGAAAAAATGCTGGCGGTGTTTTTCAAAGATTTGCCTTTTTGTATAATACACCTTGGGGTGTCAGTATTGATGGAGAAAAAAAAAACATACGATCGGTTTTTTATTTGTTCAGTGATGACAACCATATATGTGTTATATGAAAACAAAACAATATTTATAGCGTAACATACTGTATTGTGTCTTTGTTGGTGTTACAAAGCACCTCCTTTATCGGCATAACAGGGGAAAAAAAGCATGAACTTGTATATGTGGTCGTTATCCTGTTTGGTGTCTTTTGATGTATTTCATTAGTTACTATTATAAATAACGATTAGATTATTCTAATATGTATTGTTAGCAATGTCTTGTAAGATCTTGATAAAGATTAGAATATTCTAATATGTACTGTTAGCCATGTCTTTTAAGATCTTGATACTGTTCAAATGCAGAGAAAACATATGTCGGCTTATCACTTTTTTCCTTTTTTTCCTTTTTTCGAAAAGAATACATTTCCTGCCTTTCCTTTTTGCCAAAATTATAAATTGAACTTTTCCAACAATTTCATTGAATTCTAAAAGTACGGATCTCTCTTTCAAAGGTGAAAGAGAACTATGACCTGGACAGTCGTGTGTTGATTATTTTACAAATATCAATTTAAAATTGCATAGCTTGCCAGCAAACCATATAAAACTATGAAGGACTATGTCAGAACCCCTGAAGATGCAGCAATTTAGTTTCAGCCACGGTGTGTCAAAAGGTGAGTCCTATGACGTACTACAGGAAAAATAGGCAAACGGTGTGGTAAGCTTCTATCTGACCTCTCAAATTAAACCGTTCGCGAGACCTCTTGGATCGATACCGTGTATGGTGTGTCTTTGTTTAAAAGGGCACAGAACACCTAAGTGAGTTAACTCTTTAGTAAAGAGCAATTAAGCTTCTCAATGCCATGTCAAACTGCAATATAGCTAATAAATTATTCCTGTAAATTGTGTGGTTCAAATTTTTTTTCGTCAAGGTAAATGTTTTGTCAAAATTTTATGAAAATAAAACGAGCCAAATCTATTTTAGTCGAAGTGTTATGTACCCCCTTAATTGTATTTGATAAGTGTTAATTTGATGAGCGAAGTCTTCACCCAAAAATGCCTTATTTTGTTCTGTTGTTGTGATTTTACACTAATTTACCTTGCGAATAAAGGGTTACGTGCTCATCAACATGAATTACATGGCAGCATGTCGTATAATCAAAGGCAATGGTTTGTTTTCAGTGACTGTCGTTAGTTTTCGTCTCACATATCTGTTTTTAATAACATACATCAGGCCGTTATATTTCACATGTTGTCATGGCGTGGCCTTTTATAGAGTTCTATGTGGTAACTATTTTTTCTTATTGTTAAAAACCATTCAGTTCTGTTGTTGACATCATCGCCATTTTTTTTAGGTGTATTATTGTTTCATTGGCAATCATACTTATATTCTTATGATAACTAATGCATACATGAAGCAAGTACATATGTGAATTTCCATAACAAAATTTATTGAAAAACATGAATTGTCATTCTAAGGATAAGGTCATTTTACTGATTCCAATGCTGGTACATGTATCCTACAAAATATAATTAAAGATTTTGTTGATTACAAAACGCAGTGAATCATGTTTGTCTACGCTATCATGTCAAGATAAACACTTCATCATAACTGTTAGTGCATAGTTAGACATAGTAAATTCTTACTTTTGAATCCCTGCTCCAGACGTGTTTCCTTTGTCTTGTTCGTCTCTTTAAACAATGATTGTGTCATTAAAACGCATGATACTATCATTCGTGTTTACGACAAGTTATACCAGAGGCCGCAATATAACACATTTTAAAAATATAAAACATGCATCGTCGGAATTGTGACATTTAATGTTCATTTTTAATGTTGGGCCATTATACGATTTATTAATGTGTTTCACCTCAATGGAAAGAGTGATACGTGGTTTGTTGCTAGGAAAAGAACTAGAATTAAATTATTTGTGAAACCGTGCAACCAATGCGCTTAGATATATACTTCTAACCGATGTAATTAAGGCAACATGCAGCTCGTCTTTTAACTTGTTACTGTAAGCTATAGTATTTTCAAGCGTTTGAAACCACCTCGCTGGTCTCGTGGTAGCGTGTTCGTCTCGAGAGCGGGATGTCATAGGTTCGAACCGCGGCTGGGTCAAACCAAAGACTTAAACATTAGTATTAGCTGCTTCTCCGTTAAGCTCGCGTCATTAAGGAGTAGGAGCAAAGACTGGTCGGTAAGGATTCAGAATAATGTCCGGGTAACGTGACATGTCTTCCTGCGGACTATTACATAGCACGTTAAAAATCAGGGTCAGCGTGTCGGTCTAGTACACAGCACGGTTAGTATTCAAATCACTTTAACATGTTTTCGTCCTGAATATGCATATCAATTTGTAGCTGGACGTTAAGCAGCCACCCATCATCATCATTAAGCGTATGAAACATGCGGACTGTATCCCTTTTACTATTTTTTTTTAGATTAAGAAATGCGGTTAATGATGTCTTCAGACGCAAAATAAAATCTAGTTGGATCTGGTCAAATAAGATAACTGATAATACTTATTAAAAAACTTGAATAATCACATGTCTGCTGTTGATATTAATGGTTGTTGTGTGTCAATAGGTTACTGTCTTTCAATGCACAATCAAATCACCTTATGGAAGACAATACATACTATCAAGTTTAATAGCCTTTTTTTCCTCCACCGTATTTTCCACCATATCCACCGCCGTATCTACCTCCGTATCCACCACCGTATCCACCACTAACTCCGTATCCACCGACTAATCCACCGACTATTCCACTACTATACCCACCACCATATCCAACACCGTATCCACCGCCGTATGGAACACCGATTCCGCCACCATATCCACCACCGTATCCACCGCCGTATGCAACATTAACTATGCCACCATACCCACCGCCGTATCCACCATAATTACGGCTAGTAACCCACCATGGGAATCCCTGACAGCAGGTGTTCCATTGTCCTGGGAACAGTGGTGTTAATCTGCATTGTTTGTTCAAAGTTGTCTCCCATTTACGACACAAACCTGGACGACAGGTACACCAAGAGTTTCCAGCTGTAATTAAGAATATATAATATATATTAAATATCAAACCTGATATGTTAAACTGAATTTCATTAAGTTATCATAATTGTGTACACACCTGATACAATTGTCAGTATATAATAAATCATCTGTGTACTAAATTCACAATAATGAAGTACCGATAATTCCAGTTTTTTTTTTCTTCTAAACTTGTTTTTGGCCTAATTTTATAAGCAATCAGATACTCGTTTGCACAAAAACACGCAGAACAACATGCTATATAATGCAAATTGCCATGTTCGTTGAGTTTAGCAACAATTCCAATATTTGTTGAACACTTTATCGTTTTAATCGAAATGATTTGTAAAAAAAATATCGTTAAATCTAGATGAGAACCAATCTTAAATGCAAGAATAAAGATAAAGTTGAGTCCAGCCAACAATAAAGATTGTTCTTAGTTAAACATTCCATTAACACACTAGTCAAATGAATCCAATGAATGTTTATTAATAAACTAATAATAGTTACTCAGATACAATGTTGTTAGCAAAACGCGCGTTTCGTCTACAAAAGAGTTATCAGTGATGCTTGAATAAAAAAAAAAACTACAGGCATTATAAAATACAAAGGTGAAGTGCATTGAAGACCCACAGATTCCAAAAAAGGTTTTGCCAAATACTGCTAAGATAATCCTTACCTGATGTAGCAAATTCTTATTATTTTCGAAAATTCATAATTTGTAACCAGTAAATTAATGATTATGACCATATCAATGATAATTCTTGTCAACAATAATGTGTTGGATAATGATTTAGTGATACTTTAGTTATGTTAAGAATTGCAACAGATCTAAAAAAAAACAAAACCAATAATAAATAAAACGTAGCTTTTGAAAGTCGTAGCGATACGTCAAAAAATGCAATCAGAAGTTAGAAAGGTTACATAAACAGGTACATGTAAAAGTATTTTTTATTAGATTGAGTCTAGGCCTTCTAAATATTGTATGCTGTTATGAAAACATATATTTGAAACCTTTTTCCAGTAAACGAGAACATGACGATATTAAAGTTATGTTTATACACTTTGTTAATCTGTCATGAACGACTTCCTTAGAATGTTTAAAGACATGTTTGTATTTAAAATTACCTTAACAAGATGTTCAAATGAATAGCAAGTATACATCAGATAAGATGCAAAAAAAGGAATTTTTATCTGGTAAAAAGGTATACTAAAAAAAAAAATCGTTACCCTTTTTTCAGTTTCAAATACCAATGATGAATTGTTATGAATATTTGGCATAGTATTTTCAAAAAAATAAAGAAGAAAAAACAAAAACAATACACAATGTTTAAGTTTAAGAGGAACCACTAATATGCACACTAACAGGCATCTACAGTCAACAATATTTCTTCGCTTTTTCGAACCAAGCTAGAAATGTGTGCTAGTATAATAATTTCATGACCAAAGTTATAAATCATTTCATACCCAAAGGTACATATTGTTATAAATATACCATCATCAAATTCTTACATAGAAAGATAAATGCAAAAGAAGAGTTTGTGCCGTGCTGTTAAACTACTGTATTGTTATTAAAACAAACAAAAACAAAAAATGCGATAGAAGACAACGCTGTATAAAACCTCGAATTGAAGATTATATAGCGACAGCTAAATTCAAAATATTTACATTTTAATTTCTGTTGATGAATTGTTTTGATAACTAGTAAAACATCTTTTCGAAATTTGGAAAATGTGAACTATCATATGTACATACCTCCTCCTGTCCAGCCACCGTAGCTTGCACCTCTAGTATAAACTACACCAGCGCCAATACCTGCACCTCTGCCAATAGCTGCAACTCCACCAATACCTATACCCCCGCCAATACCTGCACCTCCGCCAATATCTGCACCTCCACCAATACCTACACCACCGCCAAAACTTGCACCTCCGCCAATACCTCCAGCTCCACCAATAACAACACCTCCGCCAAAACCTCCAGCCCCGCCATACCATGAACCACCACCGTAACCTCTACCACCACCATATCCTGCTGCAACGCCGTAACCTAAACCATCGTCAAATTTTCCGTCTCCGTAGACAGTTCCAACAATGGCTACCAACAGTACAGTAAAAACTCCCATGGTTGATTACTTCAGATTGATTTTACAAGTAGTGATGATACGGCTGTATTCACGTCTATTTATATTGTCAATATGTACAATAAATGACCATATGCACAAATATTGCATTAATAGGTGGTGAATAACTGTAAACCACTTTTTCTTCTGTGGTTTTATAAGTGATGATTTAAGAAATTATATGACAAAGGGGAAATTTGATATCGAAACCATAATGTGTTTTGTGGTGTTTACTGACGCGTTATTAGAAATTCTGAGGTAAATAAAAGTAAATGTCATAAGTTACATAGATATAAGAAGATATGGTATGAGTGCCAGTGAGACAACTCTCCATCCAAGTCAAAATCTATAAAAGTAAACCATTATAGGTCAAAGAACGGTCTTCAACACGGAGCCTTGGCTCACACCGAACAGCAAGCTATAAAGGGCTTCAAATATTACTAGTGTAAAACCATTCAAACGGGAAAACCAACGGCCTGAATGTTTTTATAAGTGTCTTACTACTATTACTTAACAACACTTTAAAATAAAAGCATTTTCTACAATACTGTTCTATTGCCTTCTCACAATGTTGGTATATTCTACATTACAGTTTGTGGGCAGTAGAGAATTAAAATGATATATGAACACATTTCTGATCAGTGTGACTTAAAAACTACAATGCATACTACATAATTTGAATAGCTGCCCAATATGTTTAAATGAAACACAGTGTCATATTTTCGAAATGATAAGTGTGATATAGTGTATATAGACCATTTTGCAGTGCACATGCATCGGAAAATACGTTTAAATTCAAAATAATTTATAAGAATACTTGCAACAAAATTCTAACATAGATTTTCTGATACAAAACGAGAAAAAAAAGTTTTGTTTGTTTCAATAAATAATTGCGTGTTAAAACGAAAATCACATTTACAAATAACATATAAAAATGTTGATACGACTTAACCATCATAAAAGTAGTTCATTTTAATGTATTTTTGATACTGAAATATGTCTTGTTTCATCATGTCTGAAATATCACTCGATATACATGTTGAAATTGAATATTCTTTGCTCCAGATATGACTGTACTGGAAACAGTAAAAAAGGCAACTATTTGCTTTTTCCCTCCCATTATGTCCATTATTCATTATCAATCTTTAGTGACATAAGTATAAACAATGAAATAATCCATTCGGTCGTACCATGACTAATATGACAAATATAAATTGATATTTTCCAAGTATTTTTTAACTAGTAATAAAGCTTTCCTGATCAATTGTCTTTTGAATTTTGTTATCTTTGTACAACATGATTGTTTAAAACCACACTTTTTTTATTCACATGTCAACGTGGTCTTGGTAAAGTGTAAAAAAATTACAGATTCATGTAATGAATTTTAATTTAACCACACATTTATATTCTTTCTGTAGCGCTTTTATTCACAAAATATATCAAGACATTGTTTGCGGTTTCAATTAAATCATAAGGATTTGAAGCGTTTCCTGAATTTTCAGTCTGCATTTTAATGTCTGGAAGTCAAAGACAGGCGAAATATACCAAAGGGACATTCAAACTCATAAATCGAAAATAAACTGACAATGTCATTGCTAACAAGGTAAAAGACAAACAGGCAAACAGCATTACACAAAACACAACAACGAAAACCAAAGACTGAGCAACACGAACCTCACCAAAATCTTGGGGTGCTCTCAAAGATATAATAAATAATCATCTGTTCATCTGGTACCTGTATTCATAGTACGTTTCGATAAAATTGATTATCTAAACCAGTCGCTGGTAATATATCCGGATATTTTCTATAGACATACAACTACTAAAATTTAGTGGTACTTATACATCATTGGGATTCAAATGCTTCAAAAAGTAAAAAAAAAATGCAAGTGCATCAGAAGGAAACGATTATCAGCGTGGGTTACCCGGTATATGAACTGGTCTTTATTTCTCTTGTTTGAATTGCCTTACATTTTGTCTTTACTGTATGAGTTTCGTCATTGTTGAACCCTGTACAGTGTTTGCTAATTGCTCAATTCCCTATCATTTGACTTTTCGTATTGAATATGGTGTTATTTTTTATTAGAAAGACTTGACAAAATTTGGAGACAGAAAAATACTTCTCAATTTTTTTTTTAGGAGCTGTGTATCAAGAGAAGAAAAAATGCCTTTTGTACTCCTTAACTGTGTAGTTTCTTCTGAACGTTGTGAATCGAGCGCTGCTGATGCAGTTTTTTGAAACGAAACATGTGTTTTGCGTATTAAATTATCAGCCCTTATTGATTGATTAAAACAAACGTTAGATTGATACTAAATAGTTATGTTGTATATACACAATTATGTTAGAAGCGTTGTCTGCTATAAAACAAAATATTATCGTGGTGAAAAAATTAGGAATTTAACACATAGGTTATTCAAAGGGTTAGAAATATGTGAACTCGTAGATTTGTTATGCGCTTCTCAATGCATGACCAAGCCAATTTGGTATATTTCTTCTAGTGTATCGCTCGCCAATTTTCTATCACAGTCCTAAACTACAGCCATGAGTAATACGATGTGCTTATTCTAGTTGATGGGCTGAGAAATTATATTTTACGGGCTTTTGGCTAAAAGATAAAAATCATCTGAAAGTAAAAATTGTCTGCCTAAGACATTTATTATTTTGGCCAGATTTCATAAATTCTTTAGAAGTCTTTGTTCTCAATACACACTTGTGGCAAATTAGTACTTTTCAGACCATTCGCTTGCAGTCAATTAAGATATGTTCAGACCGTTCCGTTTTTATATATCCAGTCATATTCACCGCATCCTGAACTGTCCGTTATCTTCAATACTTTTATCCCTGGGTAAGGCTCGAGATAAAATTCGAATATAACGGACCAGGTCATTT